TAGTTATTGTATACTCTTAATTATGAATCATAAAAAATCATTTTCCTTAACTTTTCCCCGTAACGACTTCGATTAAAAGATCGAGACGAGATATATTTATAATTCTTGTAACACGCTAACACTAATTAGAGTTACACCGTTATAGATCAAATGATCTATAAGGTGATTAGTTGAAGGTATAGTCTAACCCTTCGACGAAAGTCAAAGGATAAATTGGAATATGGTGCAATGATATCTATGTGTACTCTTATTAATATTATGTTCTTAGGTGGTTATTTAGTACCTTTTTCTTATTTATTTTCTGATTCATTATTAATGTTTTTAGAACCTTTATCATTAGGTATAAAAACATGTTTATTATTATTTATTTTTATTTGAGTAAGAGCTACTTTACCTAGAATTAAATTTAATCAATTAATAAATTTAAATTGGAAATGTTTATTACCTATAACATTAGGTCTTTTTATGTTAATAATTTCTATATTAATTTTAATTTCTTCTACTAATTATAATGAAAATATAATTTTAGGTTTTTCATTTATAAGTTTAAAAAATATTAAAAAAAAAATTTATAAAATAAATTAAATTTAATAAATAATTCTAATTTTTTTAAATGATATATATATTTATTTTTAATTAATTTATTTATATTTATATTATATTATAAAAAATAATTTTTATAATATAATATAATACTTTATTTTAGTTTTAATTTTAATCAATATTTATTTATTTTATAATGAAATAACTTATATTAATAATAAAAATATATTATATAATAATACAGGAGGAAATAACTTATTAAAAAAAATAGGTGTATATATAATAACTATTTTAACTATTACTAGTAATTTAAAAACAATAAATGATAATTCTATAGTAGAATTATCAAAAAAAATTGATGAATTTACAAAAATAAAAAAAAGAAATTAAAAATTATGAAATTCAAATTTAAAATTTTAAAACTAAAGACGAAATAAAAAAAAATAAATTTTGAAGAAAAATTTACCAAAATTAATTATATAATTTAAAATTTAAAAATTAATGTAATTAATACAGAAAAAATAAATAATTTTAATAATCAATTTGAAGGGAATAATAAAATATTATATGAATTAAAAATATTAAAATTTAATAAGGATTATTTAATAGAAGAACTAAATCAAATACAAATAAAATAAAAATTCAATGTTTTTTAATTTTAATGATTTATTTAAAAATTTTTTTATGTTTTTTCTTTTTTAATCAAATTATTTTGTCTTCATTAATTTCGATCATATTTGTATTTTATGGAGATTACTTAATTCAAAGATTCAATATAGAAAAGAAATATCCAAGATTATATAAATTTATAAATTTAAGAAGAAAATTCCAAAAGTATTATTTGTTAGTTAATATTGGGTGAATATTATTAGTCTTATTAACTGAATTTATATTCATAATAATTATATTATGAATATAAATTTAAATTTTTTTTTTTCGATATCTTATATATATATTAATAAAATTTTTATTAATTAATTAAATTATTTTTTTACCTTTTATTTCTATTTTAGAGAAATACCTTAGCAGATATTATTATATCTCTAAATAATTCTTAAATAAACCATATATTACTTAAAATAAGTAATAATGGAAAATATATAACTTATAATTATTTAAAAGATGCTTTGATTAGTATAAAGCATTTTAATTCATTATTTAAAATACTTTAATCTATTGAAAAATTTTATAATTTATTCTTAGTAAAAGCATTTAAATTTATAAGTGGTTATTTTTTTATTTTATTTTTTTATTAAAATTTTATATACAGGACAAAAAGGATTTGAACCTTTAAAATCAATTTTGAAGACTGACATTTTACCAATTAAATTATTCTCCTATATATATAATAAAATATATAATTAAATTTATAATTTTAAAAAAATAATTATACAATAAATAATAAATAATTTATAATAAATATATAATATATTAAATTATATAAATATAATAATATATAATTTTAATGATCTAAAAATTTTTAATAAACAATTTAAATTATTAAGATTTTAAAATTATTTATAATGTTTTATAATCCTTTAGAACAATTTTTTATAAATAATTTTTTATCTATTAATACACCATTTTTAACTTTATCTATAACAAATTCAGGATTATATATGATAATATCAGGTACTTTAATATATATAATATTACAAATATCAATAAGAGAAGAAAATATAATAGGTAATAAAATAAGTATATTAACAGAATCAATATATAAATCAATATTAGATTTAGTAAGAGCTCAAATAGGAAAAGAAAATGAAATGTATTTACCATTAATATTAACTTTATTTTATTTTATATTAATAACAAATTTTGTAGGATTAATACCTTATGGTTTTTCTCCTACTGCTCATTTTGCATTAACATTAAGTTTAAGTATTATGTTAATTATTGGTATGACATATATTGGATTTAGTAAATATAAATTAACTTATTTTTCAGTATTATTACCTTCAGGTACACCTTTAGGATTAGTACCTTTATTAGTAGCTATAGAATTATTATCATATATAGCTAGAGCTTTTAGTTTAGGAATTAGATTAGGAGCTAATATAACTTCTGGTCATATTTTATTAAATGTTATAAGTAGTTTAACTTTACAAATTATATCTATAAATATAATTTTTGCTATTTTATCTATTATACCTATTGTTTTTTTAATTTTATTAATGGGATTAGAAATAGCAGTAGCAATTTTACAAGCTTATGTGTGATGTGTTTTAACTTCTATTTATATAAAAGATTCAATAGTTTTACATTAATTATTATTAATTTTTTATTCTAATTATAATAATTTTTCCTTTTAATATAAATTTTTATATTTTAAGAGATTATAAATATTTAATATATTTTTAGATTATATAGTATTATTTTTTATAATATGCCTCAATTAATACCATTTACTTTTATTAATCAAATATCTTTTGGATATTTTATTTTATTATTTTTATCTTATTTTTTATCTGTTTATATATTACCTAGATATATACTTAAAGATTTAAGTAGATTATCTTTAATACAACCTTGAATTTAATATAATATAAATTCTATTATATTTATTTATATTAATTATATATATTTAAAAAGAATCTTTATTATATTATTTTTTTATTTATACAAAATTTAATATATAAATTAGTGATTTGAAAATATTAAAAATTATTATAGTAGGTTATATATATAATAATTTATATAATAAAAAAGAATTTTTTATTATAATTTATACAATTAATATCTTTATATTTGAAAAAATTCTTTTTTTATTTCAAATAATATATAAATTATTTTATTATTTTTATTTTTATATCATATTTTTAATGAATATTATTATATAAATTTTTATTTTTATTTTAAATAATTCATTTTTATATAATTATTTTTTTTTTATTAAATAATTTTTATTATATTTTTTTATATTAAAATATAAAAAAAATATTGCCAGATTAGCTTAATTGGTAAAGCAGTAATCTTGTAAATTACCTTATATGGATTCAAATTCCGTATCTGGCTAAAATTTTATACCTACTTGGAGAAATTGGTAGACTCAAACGACTTAAAATTGTTTGCACTTTGTGTGTGAGGGTTCAAGTCCCTCAGTAGGTAATAAAGAGAAGAAAGCATTTTGGTATTGCAATCGCCCTGTAAAGGCGATGGTTCCGACCATTCTGGGTTCAAATCCCAGTCTTCTCATTAAAAAAAAAAAGGGGAGATAGCTTAATGGTAGAGCCGACTGCTCATAACAGGAAAGATGTAAGTTCAAATCTTACTCTCCCCATTTTAAATATATATTTAAAAATTACTGCGAATAAGTGTAAAGGTAGCACATAAGGCTCATGATCTTAAAGGGATTGTTCAATTCAATCATTCGCACTTTAATTTATTACTGTGAATAAGTGTAAAGGTAGCACATAAGGCTCATGACCTTAAGGGGATTGTTCAATTCAATCATTCGCACTTTAAAAAAGATCTCATCATCTAAAGGTAGGATCTGGCACCTTCACTGCCATTATGTTCGTTCGAATCGGACTGAGATCAAAAAAGAAAATAAAGGAATCGTAACTTAAAGGTTAAAGTGTTTGCTTGATAAGCAAAAAATAATGGTTCAATTCCATTCGATTTCAAAAAAAAAAAAGATTAGATATCTTAACGGTAAAGTATCGGGCTGCAAACCTGATTATGAGTGTTCAATTCACTCTCTAATCTTATCAAAATATAAAATTTTATATTTTGATAAAATATAAAATAATAGGGAGTATAACTTAATTGGTAGAGTGTCAAACTTTTAATTTGTATAGTTTGGGTTCAAATCCCAATACTCTCAAATTATGCCTTGATAGCTTAACAGGTAAAAGTACGGAACTGAAAATTCTGGGTAGGATGTTCGAGTCATCCTCAAGGCATTAAAATAGCTGTAGTAGCTTAATGGTAAAGCCAATCACTGTTAATGATCGGATCTCTGTTCAATTCAGGGCTACGGCTAAATAAAGGAAAAATCACCTAATGGTATGGTAATAGTTTGCTAAACTGTGGATATTAGATATCTTTAAGGGTTCGATTCCCTTTTTTTCCGAATAATAATAAAACAAAAGGATAATATTCCCCATTAAAAAATTTTTTGTTATAATGAAATTAGCTTTATTATTATTATTAGTTGGGATTTATGGTATTATTTTAAATAGAAAACATTATTTACTTGTTTTAATATCAATTGAAATTTTATTATTAGCTGTTACTATTTTAGTTCTTTATTTTTCTATTATTTATGATGACATATTAGCTCAAATATTTGGTTTATATATAATATCTATTGCAGCTGCTGAATCTGCAATAGCTTTATCTATATTAGTAGCTTATCATAGATTAAGAGGTACAATAAATATTACAATAACTTCAGAAACTACTTTACTTCCTAAATTTACATTATAAAAAAAAAAATAATTCTTATATTAGGGTAGATGACTGAGATGGTTTAAGGTGCTTCGCTTGAAACGAAGAAAAGTTTTAAATAACTTTCATGGGTTCGAATCCCATTCTGCCCGTTAACGGATAGTGGCGTAATAGGTAACGCGTCTAACTTGGGTTTAGAAGATTATAAGTTCGAGTCTTATCTATCCGAGATAAATAATATATGGTAATAAAAATAAAAAAAAAAAAATAAATAAATGAATACATTATTATTATTTATTATATTAACACCTATTATATTATTAACTTTATTAATAATTAATCTTATAATACCTGTTAATAAACCTGATTTTTCTAAATTATCACCTTATGAATGTGGTATGGATACTATAGGTACAGCTAGAGAAAAATTTAATATACAATTTTATTTAGTAGCAATATTATTTTTAATATTTGATATAGAAGTAATATTTTTATTTCCTTTTGCTTCTGTTTTATATAATATTTCTTTATTTGGTTTTTGAATATGTACAATATTTATACTTATATTAACTATAGGATTTATTTATGAATTAAGTAAAGGTATATTAAATTTTATAGATAATTAATTATATTTAAATTTTATAAAAAAATTTTTTTATAAAATTTAAATAAGGGAAATAATTTAATTGGTAAAATACTAGTCTCCAAAACTAGTTTTAAAGGTTCAAATCCTTTTTTCCTTGTTTTATATATATTTATATACACTCTTAACTTAATAGGTTAAAGTGATAATCTTCGAAATTATTTATATAGGTTCAATTCCTGTAGAGTGTTCTTAAGGCGAATATAGTTTAAAGGTAGAACTACAATTTGTGGCATTGTTGATATGGGTTCAATTCCCATTATTCGCCTTTTATTTTATAAAATATTTTTTATAATAACTCGTTTAGCTTAATTGGATAAAGCATCGATCTTCTAAATCGTATATTGTAGGTTCAAATCCTTCAACGAGTGAAAAAATATATATATCAATAAAAATATAATAAAGAAGATTAAAAAAAGTAAGAAATTATTATAAAAGTAAAAGAAAAAAAAAAAAACAAAAAATGATTATATTATTATTATTTATACCTATAATAGGTATTATTATTAGTTTACAAGTAACTGAAAAAAAAAAAATTAAAAAAATAGGATTAGGGACAGCTATGATAAATTTTATAATATCTATAATAATGTGAAATAAATTTGATTATAGTTGTATTCAACCACAATTTTTAATAAAATTTACAGATATAATTGCATTAGGTGTAGATGGAATATCATTATTATTTATATTATTAACAACATTTATAATAGTTATATCTATATTAGCTAGTTGAGATATAGAAGAAAACATAAAATATTTTATAAATTCATTATTATTATTAGAAACTATATTAATAGGTGTATTTGTAATATTAGATATGTTAATATTTTATATTTTTTTTGAAGCATCACTAATACCTATGTTTTTTTTAATTGGTTTATTTGGTAGTGATAGACAAGGTTATAAAAAAGGTAAAGAAAAAGAAGAATTAACTAGAATATATGCAACTTATCAATTTTTTTTAATGACATTAGCAGGATCATTATTTATGTTATTAGCTATATTAACTTTATATTCTTTTTCAGGTACTTATGATTATATTTTTATTTCTTCATCTTATTTTTCACCTTCTAGACAATTTATATTATGGTTGTCACTTTCCTTTAGCAAGAAAGATATGACCAACAGATTAATACATTTAAGTAATAACACTTTAAATAATAAAAATATTATTACTGATATTAATAATATCCAAAATATTGAGTGTAAAAATTTAGTTATTTATGGTTCTAATTTAGGTTCTACCCTGAAACACATAAATGTGTTTCCGTTCTAAATTAAGATCTATATGTAAAATACCTAAACATTTAAATTCAATTATCTTAGGAGTTTTATTATCAGATGGTTATTTATATAAAAATAAATCTAATAAGACTTTGTTAGCATTTAAACAAAAAAATTTTGAATATCTTTGGTTTATTTATAGTAAGTTTTCTCATTATTATAGATCACTTCCTATAATAACTAAAACTAAAATTAATGGTAAAAATTTTTCTTGTGTAATGTTAACTATAAGAGTTTATCCTTGTTTTACTATATGGCATGATATATTTTATATTAATGGTAAAAAAAGAGTTCCTTTAGATTTATATTATATATTAACCGATAAACCGTTGGTTTATCGGATAATGGGAGATGGAACCAAAGTATATAAAGGTCTTACACTTCAAACTTAATCTTTTACTATTCAAGAATGTACATTTATAATAAGTATATTTATATATAAATTAAATTTAAAATGTAATATTCATATGCAAAGAAATCAACCTACTATTTATATTTCAAGTAAATCTATGAAAAACCTTAAACCTCACATATTACTATATATTTGTCCTAGTATGAAATATAAATTAGGTGAATAATATTTATATACAGAATTGATTAATATTTTTATAAAATATTGGTACTTTTTTTATTAATTTAAAGGATAATGATTTTATTACTATGAATTAAGTCTGCGTGGCAAACTCGAGAGACCTCTAAAAGTAAGAATAAGTAATTACTTTTAGAATATCGTCGAACTAAGTCAATTTACTAAAAAGTTTATTGTAAAAGCGTAGAGGCCAAACGCCACATGATCGTCTAAGTAACAATAAAATTGTTATATGGGATTATAAGAAATGGTCCAGTTCACCGGCAACGGATTTTAGATTAACACCTAAATAAGGTATTTGTACAATATATAATTGTATAAATACTGAGAAAATAAGCTAGCTATATCTGAAATGATAAAAGGCCTAACCCTGAGGATTTTTTATATCTTTTGCAATAAAAACACCTTTATTACCTTTCCATCAATGATTACCTTTAGCACATACTGAAGCTCCATTAAGTGGTTCTATAATATTAGCTGGTAAACTAATGCTAGCTCAAAATTTAGCTATATGCTGGAAACTCTTATTTATAAATTTAATCGAAAATATTATTAATATTTTCGATTTAATAAGACAATCAGCAGGAAACTACGCTGTATTTGGCATCCGACCTAGGTCGGAGGTAAAACTGTTTAACATAGACTCTATGTTAAATGAATTACATAGGATCCTCAGAGACTATACGCTAAAAATAATTAACAGTTCTAATTACAATGATCATTCTATAAAATTAAATTTTTATACTGGTTATCATAATTTTATAATCGATATAGAAAAACAATATTTCTCTACTTTTATAAATAAACAAACAGATACAAGTTACATTAACATAAACTTTACAAAAAATTATTTAGGTTCTTATTTAGCAGGTTTAATTGAAGGAGATGGTAATTTTTATTTATCTAAAAATGATGTAAATACATCTCAAATTATTATTGCTTTTCCTAGTAAAAATTATCCTTTATTCGCTACATTACAAAAAATTTTAAATATAGGTAATATATATAAAATTAAAGGTAAAAATGCGTATCATTATAGAATTAGTGATAAAAAAGGTTTAGAAAAAATAATAATTTTAATAAATGGTTATATGAGAACACCTAAAATTAATCAATTCTATAAACTTATAGAATGATTTAATAAAAAAGATATTCATATTCCTAAAAAACCTTTAGATACTTCATCTTTAAATTCTAATGCTTGATTAGCAGGTTTTATAGAAGCAGATGGTCATTTTTCAATAAGATTATCTATAAATAAAAAAGGTAAATTAAAAAAAACAGCTTGTTCTTTAGAATTAGTACAAAAACAAAAAGATATTTATGGTAATTTAAATTTTGAGATAATGTCTCAAATCAGTAAATTTTTATTATGTAAAGTTAAAGAAATTAATGTTACTTCTAAAAATCCTCAATATAGAATAAGAACAACTAATTTAGAAGGAAATTTTATATTAAAAAATTATCTGGACAATTATCAATTGTCCGGTAGTAAATATTTAGATTATAAAGATTGGTGTAAAGTATTAGAATTATTTTATATACAAAAAAAAAAAAATGAGGAAGATATAAAAAAAATCTTAAAAATAAAATCTAATATGAATGATAAAAGAACTTATTTTAATTGAGATCATTTACAAAAATTAAATAAAATATAATAGAATTGTTTTAATTATTAAGATATAGTCCCAGGCACATGGTAACATGTGCGGTATCTATCAAATAAAAAACGATATTAGATAAATTTATATACAAATATATATATTTAACTAAATATTTCTTTATTTGGGAAGTATATTTATAATTATAGATATACTTCGTAACTTTTTTAGTAGTAGATCAAGAAAAAAAAATAAAAAGATTATGTTAAAATTAGCCACTTATGGATTTATAAGATATTCTTTAAATTTATTTCCAGAAGGATCTTATTATTTTTTACCTTTAATATTACCATTATCTGTTTTAGGTATTATTTATTCTTCTTTTACAACATTAAGACAAATAGATTTTAAAAAAATTATTGCTTATAGTTCAATTGGTCAAAATGGCCCCGTGAACATTATATGTTTACCGCAACAAACTATATGCGGGGAATTTAAGAAATTTATTATAAAGGAAATTTCAATATTACAGAATACTAAAATTGTTAGTAATCTTATTTTATTTTTAGATTCCATTTTAGTTAGAATTTCTGTAATATATTTTTATAATCCGCAGATAATCAAAGCGCTTAGCACGTGAATGAAAATCTCAGAGGCCATATGTTTGTTATTTACTTATAATTTAAATAAATTAAAAAATGGATTAATATATATTAATCCATTTTTTAATTTAATTTCTATGTATACTACTTCTACTAAAAATAAAATTAAAACTGAAAAAAAATTTAATCAATGGTTAGCAGGTTTAATTGATGGTGATGGTTATTTATATAAAACTAAAACAGGATCAGTAGGTTTAGAGATAACTATGAATTTAAGGGATGAACAGTGCTTGTATTCAATTAAGCGTCGATTTGGTGGTTCAATAAAATTAAAATCTGGTGCTAAAGCTGTTAGATATAGATTACATCACAAAGAAGGAATATTAAAACTAGTTTATGCTATAAATGGATTAATACGGAATCCAATTAG